TGTGAAAAATGAGGAAATCGTGATATTTGGCCTTATACTTCAAATAAAACGTTTAAAACTGCTTCTTTTCGATTCCACAAGTACGTGTTTAAAAACTACACATCTTCAGCTACAAATTCCACCCAATGCCGTCTTCGTGGAAGCATTTCCCGTGACGTGAGATCGTTTGTAATGTGAAAGTTTAAATTCAGCGTTTTTTAGGCATATTTCAAATGCCTCATATTTTTTGCCAAAACTCAAAATCGAAATTTCATGTTATAGGTTTTGAAGTTTAGGCTCTAACAATGGAAATTCCACAGCGACCGGTCAATGGAAGTGATAAATTTTATTGATCTCATGAGAATCGTAAAAAATGGCAAAAATCGCGCAACGTTTATTTATTTAACAGCTTTATAGAAACTGACTTCATTTGCGGCAAAATGCAAAAATTGCATACGAAAGCTGCACTCTTCACCTTTAAAATGCATTTTGATTTTTGTCGATAGAACACTTTGATCAAAAGATATCGAATTATTACCGTCGAGTTGATAGAAATTTTATTTAAAAAATTGATTTCGCGCGCGTAACTGACATTCAAAATCACCGGTCGCTTCAAGCGTTGTTTCTGAGAGAACGGTTCATTCTACACAAAAAGTGCTAAGAAACATTTTTGTTCAAAATTATCTCAGCTACATTTCTTGTTTGAAACATTTTTTTCTACGGCGTACAGATTCTTGGGAAATCGATGTTTTCCGTTTTTCCCCCCTACGAGGGGGGGTTTTAGGGGGAAGCCCGGGGGTAGGAGTGGCAAACTTTTTTTGCATCTTTTTTGGGGTCCCAAAATTAACATCCACAGCAAAATCTAGCTTGTTTGTCTCGTTTTTAGAGGTCAAATCTCTGACGACTGGACTATTACTCAAGATAATGCAACATAAGCCTGACCGCAACTAAATATATTGTTACCTAGATCCATAACAGCATTTTGTAAACTCAAACCTTGACTTTTATGAATGGTAATACCATA